GATAAGTACATGTAACTACTGGATAAATAATGTGAATATTATATATTAATGTATATGTTTGCTCTTGGACATCCTTAAAAGATGAAAAATATATAACAAAGTTCATTATATCACAGTCATAAACCATCAATATTTAAGAGTTCAAATTGGAAGAATTGAAATTATTCAATGGGATAAAAAATATTTTGTTATACCATTATTAGTCCTTGGATTTGTATCTGTCAAATGATGTTACAAAATATCTGCTTATATATATGTATATATCTCCAAATTGACTATATATTTAGTAAAGGCAGAAATTTTGTCTCATTCACTTTTATATAACACCCAGTACAATATTTGACATGTAAAAAAATTAGATAATTATTGAATAAATAAATATTTTGTGGTTGAACACAGTAGAAGACAAAGAATTTTTAATAATGATAAGCACAAAAAACTTGTATTCCTTTACTTTTTTGTTTTTATACTTGGTTTCTTCTTATTAATAACAAAAATATGATGTTATTTCCAGCTACTTACTCAATGTTGAAAATTGGGAGAACACAAAAACATCTGAGGAAAAAAGAACCTTAAAATCACCTTATCAAATCATGTCAATATGTTTCCTTTCCATTAAGTCTATGTATATTTTACATAGTAGGAATTACACATTATTTTACAATCCAAGTGCTTTAATTAATGTTATGACAGAATTCCTCATATTATTGAATACTTTATTAAAATAACTTTAAAGTTTTTATACTTTCCAGTTGTATGGTTGTATCTATATTTAATACTTCCACTATAGTTGGAACCAAGATTTCCCTGGTTTTTGGCGATTTAAATAATGTTAAAGTAAAAATCTAAGTGTATAGCAGTTTGTTCTCATGTATTATTTCCTGAAGATAGATTTTTAGAAGTGGGAGACTTGATTTGGAGTAGTGAACACACACTATAGTGCACAGATGATGCATTGTAGAATTGTGCACCTGAAACCTGTGTAACTTTATTAACCAGTACATTTAATAAAAAGGGAAAATATATTTCCTTTTTAAAACTACAAATATGTTTTGTTACACTTATTTACAGTTATTGTATACTGACATTTCTTCATAAAGTAGCAGTTTATGGGAATATATTTATTACCTTATTCTTGCCAATAAGACATTTTTAAGTATGAGCCTTAATTTTAGAGCTTGGTTTGTGTGTTGATGCCATCTAGTGGCCATATTACAAAATTACAAAATCAGAATTAAAAACTAGTAAGCGAAATTAAATTTATAAGGTGGAACATCACAGATCTATACACTTTCAAAAAGCACTCATGCTACTTGGATTTCTAAAAATTCTCAGTAGCCATATACACTAAAGCTTACAAACTATTTTAAGTGATATTCATTCATTCACCTGAAATTCTGTAGCATCTCTCACCTGGTAACTACTCTGTCAAGGGCTGAAGGCTGAGATGAGCACCATGTTTGGCCTCAGAGGTACATAAAAGCACACTGATCATTGCTAACTTGACTAAAGGCTTTTGTAAATGGAAAATAATATTTACTCATTTTGTAATTTGAATCATCCTTATTTTATTTTATTTGGTCAATAAATATTTGTTCATTAATTAAACTGAATTACATTTAAAAAAAATAAAAGTCCCTCTACTAAGCCATTGAGTGGAACCCACAGGATAATTTCCTGGCCAAAACCCAGCTGACCCATGGTTGGTATTATGCTCTCAGAGAGATTACCTATCAACAAAATCATACAGTGTGCAAAGACCAGGAACCCAGCTCTGCCAAGGCTGGGCTGCTGCAGAGACTACCAAAGGGAAGGATCAGGTCACTGTATTAGAGTTGACCTCAGTTCTTGATCTTTCTGAAAGGCAAAGGTTTGACTTGAAAGTGCATATTCTGTCAAAATGGCATCAGGCAAAAGCTGGGGAAGAAAAGCCCAGGTGGACCCTCAGTTTGGTTTTTAGATGCCGCAGGTTCCAAAGATGGCTATGCTGTTTATGGGAGGGATCCCTCCAGTTCTATATGATAGTGTTCTGGGGGTTAAAAAAACAGCAGCAAAAACCCCCTCAAAACAAAAACAAAACAGGAAAATAAGGGTGAGGAGAAAAAGATAGTAACAAATGTCACACCTGTACCAGCAGGTCCTCACATTTTGAGCACGCACTAGTCTGTGAAAGCCTATTAAAATAGGGTCATGTAGGGAAAAAAAAACAACATTGCTTGTAAACCCATTTCTCCTCATTTTATTAAATGTTCTACTTATGTACATTTTAAAGATGAACTACATACAGGCCTATGCAGGTTGCTTGCTTGGCTTGGTTGTTGAAAGACTCAGGGTGGGCAGAAAAATGGCGAATCACCATTTTACTCTTAGCTCCCTTTTTAAGGCATTTGACTAGATCATTATTTTAAAAGACAAAATTGTACTCTTTTCCCCTTCCTACTTTCTTATTGTATATGAGCATCCTGTTTTTTATTTCTGCTTTTTCTGGACTATTTGACTTACAGTTCCCAATTTTTTCCTTTCTTTACTTATATAGCTAAAACAAATACTTCTCCACAATTTATAAACACACATATATTTAAAAACAGGAAGCAAATTTATTTAGCTATATCAACACACTTAATAAAATTATTAGATTATTATTAAAAACATTTTAAAAATATGAATTAAAACTATAAAAATCCTAGAAGCAAACAAAATAAAAATCACTGTGATTTTTATATAGGCAAAGATTTCTTGGATAGGACAATAAAAGAAAAAATGATTCATTAAGCTTCATCAAAAATTTTAAAACTTCTCTTTCTTGAAAAACACCATTAAGAAAATGAAAAGTCAACACAAAGAATGGGAGAAAGTATTTGTAATTCATATATCTAACAAAGGACTTGTATGAAAATTATATAAAGAACTCCTACAGGTCTACAAAAAGAAGACAGAAAACCAATATTTTTTAAAAATGGGGAAAATATTAAATAGACACTTCACATTCAAAGATACATGAATGGTGCCCTGGTTAGTGCAGTTCAGTGGGTTAAGCACTGGTCTGAGACATTTCCAAAAGGCGGCTGGTTCAATTTCCAGTCAAGGCACACGCCTGGGTTGTGGGCCAGGTCCACTTTTGGGGGCGTGTGAGAGGCAACTGATCAATGTTCCTCTTGCACATTTATGTTTCTCTCCCTCTCTTTCTCCTTCCCTCCCTTCTTCTCTAAAAAATAAATAAATAAGTAAACTATTTTTTAAAAAACAAGATATGAATGGTAATAGACACATGAAAAGATGCTCACTGTCATTAATCTTCAGGGAAATACAGATTAAAAACCACAATGAGATACCACTACACACACACTATTGTGGCTAAAATTTAAAAGACTGACAATAACACGCTTTGGCAATGATGTGGAGAAAATGGAACTCTCATATGTTGCTACTGGAAAAGTAAAATGAGTCTCTGGCCACGCCACCCTGAATGCACCTAATCTCGTCTGATCTCAGAAGCTAAGCAGGGTTGGGCCTGGTTTGTACTTGGATGGGAAAAGGAAAATGATGCAACTGCATTGAAAAACAATCTAGAAGTTTCTTATAAAATTAAACATGCCCTTACCATAGGACTCAGCAACCAAACTCCCGGGTATTTAATAGAAAGAAGTGAAAACACATGCCTATACAATTACTTGTACATAAATATTCATGACAGATTTGTTCATAATAGTCAAAAATTGGAAACGCATCAAATGTCCATAGGTAAATCGGTAAATTGTGGTATCTCTGTGGAATACTCCTCAGTAACAAAAGGAATGAACTGCTGATACAAGGAAAACATAAACTAATTTCAAAAACATGCTAAGCAAAACGAAGCCAGAAACAAAAGGATACATGAGGTATGAAATTCTAGAGTACGAAAACTAATTTACAGTGACAGAAGGCATGTCACTAGTTGCCTGGACCTACGTAGGTGGGGAAGGGTGGAAAGGAACTTTCGGGGATAAGGAAAATGTTCTATATCTTGATATGATGGTGTTTAAGATGTGTATACATTTATTGAAAATCCACTGACCTCATGACTTAAATGGATGCATTTTACTGCACACAAAGTATAACTCCATAAAGTTGATTTTTTTTAATGGGAAAATCAAGAAAGTCCAGGAAAGCATGAAGAACTGTTCCAGGTTAAAGGAGACTAAGGAGGCATCAGGACTACATACATTGCATGATCCTGAGTATGGAGGAAAAACACCTATAAATAACATTATTGAGACATTGACAAAATTTAAACATGGACAGTAGACAAAAGCATAGTACTATATCAGTGCTAAATTTCCTGATTTTGATAATTTTGCTATGGTTATACAAGACTTAGTCCTTGTTCTTGTAAAATATTTAGTCAAAGAAACATAATATTCTCATTTAATTATCAAATGAATCAGCAATGGGGGAAAGAGAGAGAGAAGGAATTCAATAACATACAAATGGTAAAATATAAACAAAAGCAAACTATGGGTAAAGGTTATAAGAGAGTTCCTTAAACTGTTGTTTGAGCTACTCAGTAAGTTTAAAATTATAGCAAAATGTATTTTTAAAGATGAGAAGTAAGCAGCTAGGTAGGGGGAAATGATAACTGTATTTTTAGTTCTTAATTGTGCTCTCTCTCAAAGCCAGAGACTATTGAAGTGGTTTATCAAAAAAATAAGGAGAAGACCCAGGTATTTATAAGTTTTCTAATTGGTCCTGTGGGTAGTGCAGGAAAAGAGAAAGAGAGAATAATTCCACATGCCCATTAAAGAGAAGGGTAACTGCTCTCCAAAGGCAAAACATCCTCTTCTTCTCCAAGAAGACCAGTGATGTCTGGTATCTCAAATCGTTATCCAGAAGACCATTTTCTCACCTCCTGTTCCTCTGTCTTTTCATTGGACTAAGTCCTGCAGTCAAGAGCATTGCTTTGTTAAGTAATCATATATTATTATAAGAAGCACACTAAAAAAAATGACAAAATTTCATTTTACCTTTTCCTCTTAGTGCATTAAAAGCAGGGAAAACACTCTGCTCACAGATACAATTGAGGGTTTTGGAGCACTCAATAGCTGTTATTCTTGTTGAGGTTAAAAGTGCACATTGTCCTCGCCCAGAGATCATATTCATTATCGCAGAATTACTGTAAAACAGAAAACATGTATAGTCAATTGCTTAATTCTGAAGCTTACAATAACATAAATCATAATTTTTAAATCAGTTGCCTAAAGGTCAGGATTATGCAAATATTAATCATAACTTCATCACTAAAGGTTGTCTTGGGCTCTTAACCCATCAGATAGAATCTTGCATTGTCTCTTAATTACACTCACAATCTCCCAATTCATTCCACTCTGGAAATTTTCAGTCAGAAGGCAAAATTACTTGCAATATTGCTATAGCATTATGATATATAGCAAACACGTTTTTTTCAACAAAAGTGAGATTTAAAAAGACAAGAACCGAATTTCTGTGAAGCAGATAACAAGGCCTCATGTGTACATACTCTATGGAAGGAAAGGTAGAATTGGAATATAGTCAGAAATGAGGTTATTTAATCAATATTTTTTATCTGTTCTGTTTATTTTTCTTCTCAATCCCATAGCTAACCATTAACTGAAACATGGCAATCTATTGAAAAATATCTAAAAGCAGGGCTTCTATTTCAGAGAAGTGATGGATTAGATGCCAGAAAACTTTCTATCAAAAACAATAAAAAATGTTGAATACAAAAAAAAAATTTAAACCCTCTTGAATAAATTTATGAACTGGCAGACAAGAAGCAAATTCACACTCAGGCTAAGGATTATCAAGTAAAAGTGAGAATCTGGGGAAGTAAGTGAAGGGCTATAGGCAGTTTTCCCTTAACCGGTTTTGGAAGCTGAATGAAGAATTCCACCCACCATCCTAAAGAGAAGAAAAGTACATAGGGTTGGGGCCAAAGAGATACATCTTCAGTATAAACCCCCTAGAACTGTCCTGAACCTTAGATTTAAGCAGAAGAGCAAAATAATCCCACCAAAGAATCCAAAATCATAAACCACCCCTCATGTAATTTGCATTTGCTATACTATTTAAGAATATTTAAATCTGCTACAGGAAAAAAGGGAAACAAACAAATAAGATAAATAAAACGAAACAGCTTGAGAGGCATGGCAGAACACATAAGATATGTTAAATATGGATGAGTAACCAGGATACGTGTTAAGGTATAGATACAGCAAGTAGAGCTCACGTGTGCTGAATGTAGAAAAGGAAGAAAGAATCAAGAGCAAATATCATACACAAAATATACACGATGCACATAGGTACTCAACATTCATGCAGTCTTAAGTTCATCACTCATTGGCAACACTTATTCTGGCCTTCTGTGCAAGAAACACAAATAAAATCTGTATCTGCTCCTTAGGTTAATTGAAAAGCTGCAGCTGTGGCCAGGCTTAACATGCTCCTGCATCTCCCCAGCACCGAAAACGTGTGTGCTAGCCACAAGGACCTTCCCTTCTGCCTGTTATTCAAACTTCGAGCTTGGTTTTAGAAAGCACGCTGTGGTCAGATCAGGAAAGAGTTTGGCAGCAAGTAGAGTCAGTCCATATGAAGACTGTATAACCCAGGATACAAGTGATCCTTTCATATACTTGCATCTTATCCTAAGTGTGGCAACCTATTCCACCACACCCAAGTGTGATGAGCTGTCCCATTTCTTTCCCCTTGCAGTGTGTGAGGTGTTTTAAATTGATTTAATTTACCATGAAATTTGAGCATCTTACAATGATCCATGAGCCTTTCTGCTCTATGACCTCTGAGATAGTTGTGCTCATGAGGCTTTAAGTACATCAAGGTAATGTCCTACATCACATCTTGTGTAGGTTTGCAGCCCAGAACTACATGAGTTGCAGGGCCCAAGTTTAGAATTAAAAGTGGCCCAGATTCATAGCACCTCAAGGCATTCAACAAAAGCAAATTATTTCTTGAGGAAATCGCCTTCATCCCAGTTCTCAAACAATTTCCACAGCAGCTCAAAAAGGAAAAAAAAACATCATTAAAACACTACAAAGAAAATGGCATCATAAACAAAAACCAGCAGAAACAATAGATTAGATCCACAAAACTTAAAATACTAGAATTATTACATACCAAGTATAAAATAAGTGTGTTTACTATCATTAAAGAAGTAAAAGACAGTTTGAAAAAAATGAGTAATTAGCAAGACTTGAAAACAAAATTCCTAGAAATAAAAATATGATAGTTAAGATTTTTTAAAAAAATCATTGAACATTTTAATAGCAAATTATATTTTAATGTAAACCCAAGAGTTTATAAAATACTATACTTCTAATAGGACTATAGTAAAGGTGTGTGTGTGTATACTCACATGTATTTATATTTATAAGTAATATATAAACATATGTAAACTAATAAAGGAGTTTCAGATGAATTTTGGGGATGCTTAAAATACTCATTTGTGATTATGGGAGGGGTCACTATGGCTAAGTCAGGATGATCCAATCACTTCACATCACTTTATGGTTTTGTTTAATTTTGTGTGCCTAATAACACATATTTTTCCAAGCATGTGTTTAGCACCACAATTGTATTATTAGCAACTCTGCATGACACTTCTCTTCCTTTTCAATTATATTTCCCAAAACATTTCCTTAATCATTTATTTTAACAATAACCTCTATTTGAAAATGAAAGAAGATACCTTTTAGATATAATATTTCCAACCCCAACACCAATGTTAGAGTTTAAATGCATTCCAGAGACTTATGTTCCAGGCGTGCCATTGCCCATCCATTCCCATTTACTTTTCCTTTCATTATATGATAATCCAGTAGTTATTTTCATAAGTCTGGGGTTGAAGGAAGGCCTATCACTCAGTCAAAACTTATCATGTGACTAAATCTCCATCTGTTAGATGAATGAGGAGGATAGGAAAAGCGGCCAGCTGTTTCGGTGGCCAGTGCTCAGCTACTTCCCACATTACCTTGCATACCTCCTTCCTAGAAGGCCATTTCTACCCTTAATCCTTGTATATTCATTTCCCAAGACAATCTTCTCCTAGTGGATTATTTAGGTCAAAAACAGCTGCTAGTGTCTTAGATTATTTAAACATGGGGAAAAAAATCAAAATATCTAAAAATAGGACCTTTGTTAAGTAGTTTATGATACTTCATGAACCAATTAAAAAATCATGCTCCAGAAAAATATTTAAGGATATAGAAAAATAATTATTAAAAATTCTTAAATGAAAGAAGGAATCTTCAAGACAAATATATTAAAATAATAACAAGTGTAGGTGGGAGGTGTGCATTAGAGCCTTCAGACTCGTAAGAGAAAGTCTTGTAGTAGTTCAGTGGTTGGAAGTGGTAAAGAAAAAAGGGGCTGAATTTAGAAATTTGCTAGTCCAAAAATGTAATTCATCAAAGTGACATATTGTACAATGTCTTATTAAGTGAATATGTTTTAAAATATAGGTTTAAAATTAACTGTGTTTTTTAATATTTTATGACTTAACAACATAAATTTTTCTGTATTATTAAAGTATCTATTAGACTTGTATATAAATTTTGTGTTGTTTTCCTAAATAATAGATATTTCAAGACTGACCTTTGCAAACATTTCTCTGTCAAAATACATTGAGTGCATGTGTAGTTTTTATTAGTAATAAAGTGGATAGTTTTTATTAGTAATAAAGTGAATAGATAATTTTGATATTGTGTTACTATTTTACCCTTTACAATTCTTTTTGAAAGATATGCATTTTGATATAATATATAGGAATATTGATCAAGTAAATATTGCCTGTAGATGCAATGAAAATCACTAAGAAGTTAATTTGTAAAACTGTTATCAGTTTTATGTTTCTCATCATCTCTGTTTTGTAGTTGGGGAAACTGAGGCTGAGAGATGTTAAGTAATTTACCAAAGGTCTCCCAGCGAGTAAGTGCCAGAGCTGGACTTGACTGCAGGCAGTCTGGCTCCTGGATTCCTTGTAGCAACTCTTGACCATGTTACTCCAGGATTTTAGATGCCACCTTATTGGGAGAAATAACTACTGGTTCCAGCCTGTATTTACCAAACAACTACATACTTCACCAAAGGAAAGGCATATTTTTCTGTGAGAGATTTTCTTGCAGGTTCCTCAGAAAGAATGATTGCAAAGACCCAAACTGCATCATCAAAGGGGTTTCCATTTTGGACATAGCAGTGGTCGTAATAGATAACATGTATTGAGTGCTTCGTAAATAGCAAGACCATGTTCCTATCAGTGAGCAAAGTCTCCTGGGAGACTCTTAACAATATTATTTTTGCTCACTCAACAGACATAACACAAATAGCTAAAGGTCCCTTTTTTCTGGACCCCTCCCTGAGTCCTCAATATCTTGAATCTGAGGGTGTGAGGCAGAGTCCAGGACGATAAAAGTGAATATAATCATCCATGATACCAGTTCATCTTCATCATCTATCTTCAAAAGAGACAATCCATAACTTTGGCAAGCCTGTTTACATCCATTCCAGTTTTTATCTTCACTTGTAAACAAATAACAGTTTTCTCCACAACAGGACCAGTGTTCTTCATTGAGTTTGCCTACAACATATAATGTAAAACATTAAATGTTGTCATCTGGCATTCTGTTAAGCAGAGCAATATATATGGATATATATTCTCCAGCCTTCCCTAACTGAATGAAATCTTAATAGCTATCAACAACGACAACATGAAGTTCGTGAAGGTTCTGGAATGCCAAGAGATATCTGCACAGCCATGTCCAATGTAGCATTATTTGCAAAAAACAAGATATGGAAGCAACCCAAAATCCATCAACAAATGAATGGATAAAAAGAAGTGTGTTTATCCATACTTGAAGTACGATTCGGCCTTAAAAACAAGGAAATTCTGCCAAATACAACAACATGAATGAGCCTTGAAAGTGTTATGCTGAGTGAAATAAGCCAGACACAGAACAAATACTGCACGATTCCAATTACAGTATTTATAATAGTCAAACTCAGAGAAACAGAAAGTAGTATGGTGGTTACCATGGGCAAACAGGAGGGAGAAATGAATATAAACTTTCAGTTATGCAACATGAATTAAGTTCTAGATATCTCATATTTCATTTCAATATTTCATTTATTTTTCCATTCTCACAAACTTAAAAAAAAAATTGTTCTATTACTACACCCCTTATGGTTGGGTATCACCATATGAGAACCTGAACTACAGATAAAAACTTTTTTTCAAACTTCGAGAGTTTGACAATCCATAAGAGAAAGATGAATCTAGATGCTTAAAACATATATCTTTGTCATCGCTTTTCCCAGGCCTGTGAGTGCCACCAGGCCTTAATCTATTTGATGACCCTGAAGGAGACTGGGGATAGGCCAGGGTTGCATAAGTTACTTTCTGATTGCTCATCTCTAGAGTAGGAAGAGAAAAATGTTTTGCATTAAAACCTTGCGTCAGGATGATTTCTGTCTAAAGAAAACTTAAAATGTTAGTCTATAGAAACATATCAGAAACAAGAGATATGTATGTGCATCTGCCTGTGTGCTCATTAACTACTTTGAATGCTTAAAGCACATGGACTGATTTATATAAGAAATTTACATGATATTATGCCCATGATTATTAGAAAATACAAAAATAATTCTTTAAATATTTACCAACAGATCGAATAGGTTGGGTCCTCTTCACTTAGCCAATCAAGCTCAAGATGTTCAACATACATATACAAATATTAGGCAAAACAGGCGCCATCCCAAACGACTAAAACACCTTAAGATTATCAATTCAAAAAACATAAACTCTACATTTTTGAAATTCAGAAAAAAAATAAATATCTTGGCTTAAAAAAACCTATGTTCAACTCTACATATATTATAGAGTTCATGAATTCTTTTCAACTATAAAATGACTCGACCAGAGTGTTTCCCAAAATGTGTCCCATACACCATCTGCAAAAGAATTATCTGAGCGTTAACATTGCAGATTCCAGTTCCCCATGCAAGATGTACCAAATAAAAATCTCAAGTTGGAGCCGAACACCAGCACTTGTTATCCCAAAAATGAACATTAAAATTTTAAAAATAATTTTTCTGAGTATGATGTTGCCAGAAATATCTATGTTAAAATACAAATTTTAAAAGCAGCCATTATGTAATATTCAGAGAAATGCAATTTATTAATGGGTAGCAATATAAAAAGAAGGTATTAAATAATAAATATTTGAAATGTACCTTGCTTCTTACATTAATCAAGGTAATGTACAAGAAACAGAAAATAAGAAAAACATTGCACATGTAACTGTTCTTTTAAAATTTTATTTTAATTTACAAAATTTTCTAAATTTTACTATCCACATTTTCTCCACTTGCCTAAATAAAAGGAGTCTTTTCCTTTACAAAATCCTGCAAGATGGATAACATGTAAATCATTAAGTCTAAATTAAATGTGATAACCCCCCAAATCCCTCTTCTTTATTTTGATAACATCAAGCACAAATCATAGCACGTTAAAAGAGAAAATAACTTTCTGTGAATGCTGAACTATTTTCACATTCTCTTCAGAGTTAATGGGGTTCGAATGCAATCAATCGAGAATGCTTTCCTATCAATCCCATACTCATGCCGAGTCTTTTGTAATGAATAAAATACCATATTCCTAAAATATTTTCCCAAGAATCCTTTTCTTTATAAGGAGGACTAATAGATACTCGGGTACAAAAATATGAGTGAATGATAGCAACTGTGACCTGTATCTGCACCATGCAGTGATGCAGGTGGAGAAAGCTGATACAAAAGTGAGGTGGCAGAACTTGGCCTTTCCAACCCTGGATCCCTTGGGTGCATGAGGGGCTCTAAGACAAAAGGCAGAAATGAATTGTCTCTGACTAGTGCTCCAACTCAAAATTTTCTGCCCCTCCTCTTGATGAAAGGAAATTGTATGATGAAAAGCTGATGTTGGCAGGGACGGAAAGATGGTCATGAGCTATGTTATGTGTTCCTTCATCTTCACTAATGAACTGCTTGGTACTCTGCAAAGTTGCCTTTAAAAAATCAACGTTTGAGGACCAAAAAAATAAAGGAACACAGCTTTCAAGAGACCAAGAACTAATATATTTAACAAAAACTAGCATACCTAAAAGAAACTAGTAGTAAAAAACAAAAGATTAAAATATAAATGTATAAATATGTGTATACATAAAAAAATGACTAAGTTCTTTAACTCTTACATAGCCTGTCAGAAATTTTCTGTTGTATATTACTATTTGGAAAATAAAAGATTATTTCTTTTTTCCATATGTTTATTGCAGATAAATGCATTTAGAAATTGTCTTAAAAGATCCATAATTACCACTATAAAAAATGTTGGTGTGTTTCTTCTAGTTTTTTATGCATAAATCATCAAAATGTATGTTTTATCCATTTACTGTAAGTTGGTGTCACTTAACACATTTTTTATCTATTTTTTCTAACAAATGTTTCATTAAAAAATGTGCCTAAAATATGATTTTAAAAACCATATAATTATTACCCACATGGATTATATCCTAATTTATTTTAGCAATCCCCCATTGTGGGACATTTAGGTTGTTTCCAATGTTTTGCTAGTATAAAAAATATTTGGCCTGGACTTTTGAATATTTTCTCAGGAAAAATTTTAAACACGAAATTAGGAAGAGTCAAAGGGTATATAAATTAAAAAACTCTGATACATTCTACCAAATGCTCTCCAGAAAAGTTGTTCCATTTATACACTACTTGGGTGTGAAAATGTTCACATTCGATTATTTAAGAAGAGATACTAAAGAATTATTCCTGTACTTGAGTTTTGTCCACAAATCTTACTCCATGAATATCTACAACCTACCAATGAAAATACCCTTCTACAACTCTTTCTATGAGCCAGATATTCACTTTCATTTCATACAGGCCTTGTCAATCTTCTGACATACAGTTCTATGGAACCAATTTAAGTTGCTTTTCAAATCATGTGATAGAAGTTAATATGGAGTATGGAAGAGGGGAAGAGGGGTGAGGTGGGGACTGAAGAGGAAATTAATTATGCAAAAACAAAACCATCCCTACTTCAACAGGCTCTGACAACATCCTTTGCTTGTTCTTTTCTTCCCTTACCAACCTCTGCCCACCACCAAACATCAGCCTCCTCGCTCTTCAGTCTGCTCATCCTCTCACCTCTTCTCCGAACTAACTGCAAACAGTGTCTACTGAAGGTACTGACCCCTAGGACCCAGTTTACGTTACGCTGCCTGTTACATGGCCTTCAGGGGGCCTCCTTCTGTCCTCGGATGCAATCCTTCGTCTCTGAATCACTACAGAGGTCGGCCACTTGTTGTCAGATGCAGCAATCAGCTGAAATGCCTCCCAGAGGCTAATTGCATTCAATAATGGAAGCAAAGTTTCATGGGTAGAGCCGGGACGCTTCAGGAATACTTGCTACTGGGTATTTATTTCTCTCTTTACTCTAACCCTGGGTTGGCTTAGTCAGTCTAAAAACAGAGAAGGAAGATCCATAGCTTTCTATGCCAAAGACATCAATCAATCAATCAATCAATCAATCAGTCTGCTAAGGGGAGACAGGGAGCTCGGGTGGGGGAAGTACTAATGATTGTGGGAAGGTGGCAGAGAGAGACACTCATTTGTTGGAGGACCTACTGTGTGTATAAGCATACTGATACCTCCCAATGTTGACAGCTACTTCTTATTGCACCCATTTTACAAATGAAGAAACCAATCATGAGAGGTTAACCAACTTACCAAAGGACACATTATTGCTCGTTCTTGACCCATGTTTAATAGCAGGCCTGACTGACTACATAGAGCACAGACTATGAGTTTAGAAGGGCCTGGATTTTCAACAAACTTTAGTCACAGAGCATGAATTCTGGAACCAGAAAGCACTGGCTTGAAATGCCAGCCTTAGTTTCCATGTGTGACTTGAGGCAAGTCACTCACTTCTCTGAACCTTCAGATTCACCACAGTACAGTGGTGATGTTTGCTTTCCAAGGATGCTGTGAGAATTAACTGAGACGGATCACATAAAGAGCTTAGGCAGACCTGGAATATACATAGTAGGCTCTCATTAAGCGTGAAATATTATTATTGGAAGTCCAAGATTTAAATCCTGTCTAGTTATAAAAATTTCAATGAGTCACTACAAATCTCCAAACCTCAGTTTTCTCATATGTTCAGGAAGAGTAGTGCTCTCTTCATAGGCTTGGAAAAATTTAATGAGATTAGCAATTCAGTTAGGATTTCTTAGACCTCAAATTAAGTAAATGCTCTTTTTCTCTTTCTCTCAAGGCAGGACTACAATCCAGAAATCTTGAAACTGAGGTAGGTTCTCTGTCCTGTCAGGTTGGGAGTGCAGGTACTTGAAAGAGTGCCTCAGGGGAGTTGAGGATGGGGGTGGACACATTAATACAACTTAGCAGAACTGGGGCACGTAGGGCAGCATACTGCTTACCCCTCAGAAAACCCACCCTGTGGCCTGAGATCTGGTTATTTACATCTTGTCAGCCTTGGAGATATTGGTGATGTTGACCCTTTCTTGTTTTTGAATTTATATCCTTAAAGCTGAGGAGGATGTGGGTAGGTCTCATGATGGAGGCCACACAGGTATGGATCACTTTTTTACATGTACATAATTGTCTGTCTCCTCTATATAAACTCCACAGGGTGAGCACCATGTCACCCTGTTCATTACTGTCGCTGCTGCACGTGGGAGAGATACAAAGCCCACATGTGCACTTTGTGAACAAGGCGGTTCAAGTGAAGAGGAAATCTAGGTTTCTCAGTTTTAGAGTGACGTAGAATGAAATTAATAACTAAAAAGCCAAATTGTGTAGCTGCTCCCTCTAAGCTCTCTTTGATTTGTTTGTTTTCCTAAGCTGCAATTTTCTAGAAAAAGTAGATTTCTTCCTAGATGAGAAGACAAATAGCATCAGAACAGTAGTAGCTTCATGCAGCACTGAAACTCCTAGCATGGCCTCAGATTAAATGCACAGAAGTGGAAGCA